TAAATTTATAAATTAAGAGATTATTTAGTTAGATGATTTATTTTTTTATTTAAATTATAATTTATAATTTATTATAATATTTTCTTTTATAAAAAATATATATAAATTAAAAATAATTTTAATCTTATAATTTTAATTTACGAACTAAACATGTTTTAAATGTTTAATATGTTGCGGCGTTTCTGCTCCCCATTTTGGTTTTCTTTCTCTCTCCCTCTTACTTACTCACAGTGGATTTGTGATTCCGTTCTCTCTTCCCCAAAAGATGCAAAGGCTTTTTATTGTTTTCTTTTGAAGAAGCTGAGAACGACTCTCTTTTCTGTGTACGGTGTTTTTTTCCGCTTTTTAACTTCCCATGCCCATATGGGGTTTATTAGAATCATTATAATTCTAGCTACTACTTTACAAGAAAAGAAAATAAATAAATAAATTTTACCTGGTACTTATTAACCAGAAAACTAGCGAGAGTTTGATATTTTACTAGATTGTTGATTTTCATTTTTCTATATATTATCCTAATTGAATATTTATTATTTACCTCATTTTAAATAATTGAGTATTATTATAGTTTTTAATTTTCTCTTTATTAATGGATTATTTACGAAATTGTTTTAGAGCATCTTAAATTTAAAAATGCCTACTTATTATTTTACTTACAAAAATAACGACTATCATACATTATACATATAAAGATGTTTATATTCTTCCATAATAAAAAAAGGAAAAAATAACTAATGTTCAACAAAATAGGAAATATAACATTATGAGCATTCATATTTAAATACGAAAAGTGAAACAATTAAATTTAATGAAACCTAATTATTTTAAGAAAATAAAACTTTCTTTAAACAAATAAAAAAAAGCACCTACACAACTATTCACGTTACACTCAGACGTTGACTATTCATGCTTAAATTCAAAAAAAAAAAAAAACAAAAACAAAAAACAGAGAGGGAGAATTAGATAATTGAAAAGATAATATCAGTATTAAATCAAAAAGTTAGTACAAAATAATAATTAAGGTTAAAATAGTAAATCAGGCAAAATATATTATAAAAAATCAACCCACATAATAAAAAATCAACATATAAAAAACATACTTAAAATAATAAATTGGGGTATAACCAGCATTAAATGAGCCTTATTATTTAAAAAAGACATTTTTATAATGTTATATATAATTGAGTATTTTTAGATTCAAGATTTTAAAAGTAGGCATTTTATATAATTAATTATTTCTTGAGAAATTGTATCGAATAGGCGGCCTTTTAAAACTATTGAAAGTATAGAAATAAATAGGTCAAAACTAGTTTTAAATAATTTTCTTTCCTATTTTACCCTTCCTTCTAGGTTTTTATCTTTTTTTTCCTCATTCTTCTCAAACATGTTTCGCTCTATGCTCTATCCCTCTACTCTCTCACCTCCCTTCCCGCGGCTGCAATGATTCTTTCTCTCTCGTACTCCCCGTCACTTCCCGTCACGACGGCGTGTCATTAGTCGCCGTTGACGATCTGCGCCGGATTTGACGAAGGAATTCGCCGGTCGTTGTAGATCTACGAACGTTGACAAACTGGAGTTGCGCCGCCGGAATCCAACCACGATTAGAGATCCGATCTCTGCGATGGAGATTGTGAGCCGATGGCCGGCAACCATTTTTCTTCTCGCTCTCTCTTTGCGATGGTCAAACAATGAGAAACGTATTGAAATCTCGCGACGGAGATGTCCCGGCCACGTGGACAGATGGGTGCTGCAGGTATTCTTCTGGCGGAGATTGTTCCGGTGATGGCGGCGGCTGGCTGGTGTTCTTCTGGCGACGGCGGGGATAGATGTTTAGTGCTGGCTTTTTAAATTTGGGGTTATTTTAGAATTTTCAACAACCTAGTGATTAATATAACATTCTGAGAAAAACGAAATATCATAATATTCAGATAAATACACTAATTTATGTCAACTTGCCAAATTTATGAATTTCTGAATGCCATCTTGCCTAGTGATTTCCTAATTTATGCCTAATTCAGAAAGAATTTCTGAATTTTTGTCAACTTGCCTAATTTATTTAAAAAAAAAAAGAAAAAACCCGCAAGGCTCTTGCTATCTTCATGCTTTCCATGGAAATAATGCTTGAGAGTGCTCCGTTAGTTATTGCTAAGAAGATTCAAGCTTGGAAAAATTTTAGTGCCGGATACATCTAATGTTTGTTGCATCTTCTATCATTTACCACATGTAAGAAAAAAACAAAGAGCAATAACATTGTTATAGAATAATGGTACTGTCTAGTGTACTTCCCGCAGTTAATTTTTGTAGTTGGGCGTAGACAGCCCTTACTTTATCTAAGGCTCGTTTGGTTGAAAGAATGAGAGAGATGGATAGTACAAAATGGAGAGGGATGAAGAGTAAAAAGGATGAAGATGATTATAATAATGTTTCATGTTATTTGGTAGGATAAAAATAGAGTTGAAAAGATATATGATAGTTATTTATTAAATTACTATATTGTTCATTTAAACTATTTGTTAATAGTTTATTTAGAAGGTAAAACAATCTTTTTAATATTAAACTTGATGGATTGCTTGAATCCTTCCATTGATAGAATGATCTAATTTGGTGGGCCATGAGGGAGAGCACATCCCTCCACCTCTCCTCTCCTTCCTCATCTCCCTCGAACCAAACAAGTGATCAGTCTTTTCCTTCCAGGCTCCACCTCTCTCCTTCCACCCTTCTCCATTCCTCCATCTCTCCCTCCAACCAAACACACTCTAAGGGTATGTTAGGTTCACGAGTGATGGAGGGAGAGGGTAATTCCCTTGTTTGATTGGAGAGAAGAGATGAGGGAGAGGAGATATAAAGGGATAAAGCATCTCTCCGGACCCACCATTTTGGATCATTTCATCAAGGGAAGTATGCAACCAATCCACTCAAAATTAAACTAAAATGACTTTTTTACCCCTCAAAATAAATTATTAACAAATAATAAAATGAATAATATGGTAATTAAATAAATAATTATTATCTATCCTTTCAACTCCTCTCCCTCCTACCAAACAACATAAAGAATTATTATAAGGACAAATCACACTTTTCCTCCCTGAACTATTGGTCTGGTAACAAAATGCTCACTAAATTTTAAAAATAATAAATTTTCCCCCTAAAAAATTAGCCATTAGCATGTGCACCTCTTTTCCGCCTCCTCGGTTAAATTTTAAACGTTAAGTGTCACGTTAGTGGCATGTGATTCTCATTTCAATGACAAATAAGTAATTTATTGTGTTGAGTTAGAAATAGGGCAAAACCCTCCATCTTCGAAATAGGGCAAAAAATTCAAGAAATTGAGACGCCCAACGCCCCATCTTCGAACCCATTCCCACACACCCAAAATCTTCTCATTATTTTTGATCTTCCCATTCAAATTGAAGGCCTTGAATTCCTTCAAACAAATTAGTGAAGAAATCACTGAAAAAGGAAGGGATTTAGTCAATGCGAAGAAGTCGAATTGTCAATGGCTGAAGGTTAATTTTTGTGAACCCTAACTATGGAATTTGGTAAAAAAATTTGTTCTTCTTTTGGCTCAGGAAACGGGGTCAAAAAGACCCAAGACAAACTTTGTCTCAACCTCCTCATTAATTTCTTCTTCCCATCGTCTACATTTGGGCCCAATACTTGCAGAGTTGTGCGAACCCTTCCTACCTCTGCTACTACTATTGGCCGCCATTCATGAACTCAATCAAGGTGGATTGACCCATAACTGTGACTTTTCTTGTCAAATTTGGGCAAAATTAGAGAGGGCTAAGAAAGGGATGAGAAATGGGAATAAGGGCAAAATTCAGAAATAATCACGAAATAAAAGGGAACCTGAGAAGGGGATGAGTATATGAGCAAAATTGTCATTTCATAATAGAATAAAAATTAAATGTCTCAACGACTTCCACGTGACACTTAATGTTCAAAATTTAACCAGGAGGCGGAAAAAGGAGACGTGTGCTAACGACTAATTGTTCAGGGAGAAATTTTATTATTTTTAAAATTCAATGGGCATTTTGTTATAAGGCCAATAATTCAAGGGAAAAAGTGTAATTTGTCCTTATTATAATTCTCTTCAACCTTCACATTCTTCATCCCTCCAACACTCTACATCCTTCTTCCTCCCCATCCCTTCTACTAAATGGAGCACAAGTTTTTAATATATCTATGGTTGCTTCTTGTTGTTTCATGGACCCTGTTTTCCTTTTTTTTTTAAATCATTTTGAGGATTTATTGATTAGTAACAAAATGATTTACTTTTCAAAAAAAAAAATGATTTACGAAAATAAATGGAAGATTGCTTTTCCTTTTGTCAATAAGTAAACATGGATTTACGTTTAAAATACTAATACTGAATAAATGCCAAGATTCATGGCGTAAACTATGGATGTATCTTGTAAATAGAAGCTTTATATCTTAAATTCAAGATTCATCATATAATAATAGTACATTCTTCTGTTGATAAATCCAAGATTCACTATATTATGCGCTGTAAATCCAATATTTATTAAATCTTAATAAGGGATTTATATGGTAAATTTAAGAGTTACTAAATAATATATATTGTGTTCTATTAGTAAATCCAAGATTTACCAAATAACATGATTTGCGTAAAAATTGCAAATAAAAGACTTACACCGCACATTTTTTGTTGGTAAAAAAGGACTTACATTGTAAATTCAAGATTTACTAGGTTACAT